GTCGACATCAACAACCGTCAGGTGAATGTGGATTTCCTTGTAGCAGATATAGCAGGGGTGGAAGTGCTGTTGGGGCATCCCTTCCTCACACAAGCTGAAGCCCGCCTTGACTTCGGCAGACACCGCATCATCCTGTTTGGTGAAGAAGTGCCCTACTTCCAACCTGAATCTAACTTAAAGTCACATGCGGTGAAAATATCCAGAACAGTGGTGGTGGAACCAGGACAGGAGTATGTTGTGAGGGGCCGCATGCATCTAAGTGGGACAGCCCGCAGTGAAATGATACTTAGCCCCACCAAAGGTTTTATTGAGAAACACAAAGTACTCCTCGCTAGAGTCTTAGTTAATCCCCAGACGTCCAAAATGGTCCCCCTTCAACTCTTTAATCCTGGCAATAAAGCTGTGACCATTAAAGAAGGGTCCATGGCTGGTCTCCTTCAGCCAGCTGAAGCCATRCGGCCTCCCTGTGTCTCACCAGCCGCAGACTCGGCAGTCAGCTCTCCTGTGGTTCCTCTGCACCTGGAGGAGCTCTATGTTCAAAGCTCTAAAGACCTCARTGATGGTGAACGTCTCCAACTTAAACGTTTGCTTTCTACTTATGGACATGTGTTCTCTACTGGGGCTGCTGATTTGGGCCGGACCAACCTCGTCCCGCACGATATTGTACTTCGTCCTGGCGCCCCAATCAAACAACCTCCACGTAAAATGGCGAAAGAGAAGCAGCAATACGCCGACCAGCAGATACATGACAGCCTGCAGAACGGTCTTGCCCRAAGCAGCCACAGCAGCTGGGCCTCGCCCATAATTATGTTACGTAAGAAGGATGGAACATACCGGCTCTGCATTGATTACAGGGCTCTCAATGAGCGAACCATACCGGATGCGTATCCCCTACCCCGCATCCAGGACACACTGGATACACTGTCTACTGCCAGATGGTTCAGCACATTGGACCTTACCTCGGGATACTGGCAGGTGGAGCCGACGCCAAGAGCACACAAAGCAGCTGCATTCTGCGCCAGGACAGGTCTCTTCGAGTGGAATGTCATGCCGTTTGGATTATGTAACGCCCCGGCGACGTTCCAGTGGTTGATGGACCGCGTCCTAGCTGGCATGCAGAGGGAGACCTGTCTGGTCTACCTGGACGACATCATCGTGCTGGCGAGGGATGTGTCAGAGATGCTGCAGCGGCTTGGCCAGGTGTTTTACAGACTCCAACAAGCTAACCTGAAATTAAAACCTGCCAAATGCTGCCTTTTCCGCCATGAGGTGGCCTATCTGGGTCACATAGTGTCCGAACATGGTGTAGCTACAGACCCCAGTAAGGTCCAAAAAGTCCAAATGTGGCCCACRCCATCGTCCATCCAGGAGGTCCGACGCTTCATCGGCTTGGCCTCATATTATTGCAGATTTGTAAAAGACTTTGCATCTATTGCTGAACCCCTTCATAACCTAACCAAGAAAAATGCTCGTTTCCAGTGGCATGCTGAGCAACAGGCTGCTTTCGACGAGTTAAAGTGTCGACTTATATCAGCCCCCATTCTCGGTTATCCCCTGGATTCCGGTGAAATGATACTTGACACTGATGCAAGTGACACCGGCATCGGTGCTGTACTGTCGCAAATGCAGGAGGGTGTGGAACGAGTGTTGGCTTATGGCAGTCGCAAGTTGGCAAAGCCYGAACAAAACTACTGTACAACAAGACGTGAACTTCTGGCCATAGTGGAATTCACATCCCATTTTCGTCAGTATCTCCTCGGTCGGCCGTTTAAGGTGCGTACGGACCACAGCAGTTTGCGCTGGCTGACCAAGATGAGAGAGCCAGAAGGAAAGTTAGCTCGATGGCTTGAGAAATTGGCTGAATATGACTTTGAGATTATCCACCGTCCGGGTCGACAGCACACCAATGCCGACAGCCTCTCCAGGAGACCCTGCCGCCAGTCCTGCCCATGTAAAGTACAGGACTTCTCCACATCACCCAAAACCATCAACCATCAGGCTGTCCAATGTGAGTTGAACTCTGACACCAGCTCCCTGTTGCTGAGTTCAGTGGGGGTAGAGGACCAACCATCCATCACAGAGGTTTGTCCAGTGTGGGTAAGTCAAAACACCCTTACATTAGAGACTTTAGACCAAAACATTTCCACTGATGCAGACAAAATGCATCACAATGTTCAAACTGATGGATGCAGTGTGAAATTGACTGAGAAAATATATGTGGCTAAAACTCTTGACACGGCTTCTTTGTTTCATGGCTGGACCATGGGGGAGCTGAGCCAGGCCCAGGATGCTGATGTGGACATTGCACCCATACGCAGCTGGATGAAGGCCAGTGATAAACGCCCTCCATGGTCTGTTGTCTCGCCGTGCAGCCCAGCCACTAAGACATACTGGACTCAGTGGAAACGACTCTACTTCAGAGATGGAGTTCTGGTCCGTCGGTTCTATTGCCTTAACGACACCCAATTCTACCCACAAATTGTGCTGCCACGTAAACTACAACTAGACGTGATGAGACAGATGCATGAGGGGCCAGTGGGTGGACATTTTGGTGTAGAACGGACGCTGACCAGATTAAGAACCAGATACTACTGGTACCACATGAGGGAGGATGGTGTAAAACTCTGGTGTAAAACTTGTACCAGCTGTGCATCAAGGGCTCGACCCCAGAAGACACCGCAAGCCCCTATGGGAACAGTCCAGGTAGGAGCTCCTATGGAACGCATTGCACTGGACATTATGGGACCATTAAATGAGACTGAGCGTGGAAACTGCTATGTGCTTGTGATACAAGATTACTTCACAAAGTGGACTGAAG